TGATCATTTTTTGGAAGGCTCCAGATTGTTGGAGCAAAATCTGGAAAGCCACGTGTGTGGCTGTGATGGAAAAGAAAGAAGAGAAAGAAGAGGAGCACAGACCAATGAAGGGGAGAGGGGATGGATGCTAACCAATGGAGAAAGAGGAAAGGAGGGGAAGAAGAGGGGAGAGAAGCACGGGATCATGGATCCCTTACCTGGTTCTTTGCGACCCGCCCATTTCCTCCATATTTTTCGATGATTTTCCATCGTATAAATAGAGAGAGGGATGGAGTTGATTGGGTTCATTCAAGTTTTCAACATCATCGCCATCGCCATCACCATCACCATCAGGACTCTGTTGTACATGTGTTGCAGATCATTAACATTTTCTTCTTCTGTTGCTGATGATGAGGATGTTGATATCCCCCCACGTTGAGAAAAGTATGATGTGTTTATCAGCTTTAGAGGTGAGGACACCCGTAAAACTTTCACCTACCATCTTTATGAAGCCTTACTTCAGAAGAACATTGAAACCTACATAGATAACAGACTTCAGAGAGGAGAAAAAATTGGACCTGCTCTACTAGAGGCAATCGAGAAATCCACGCTTTGGGTGATCATTTTCTCACAAAACTATGCTTCTTCCACATGGTGTTTGGATGAACTCGTGCATATACTCAAATGCAACAAAAGAGAAGGCCAGTATGTGATTGTAAACATTGAAATTTCAGTGAAATAAATGTTGATCAATAATTAAAATTTCAACGTTCACGTGTCACATAAATTTTACACATAGCATGTGACCTAACGAAAAATCGAAAATCATCATAAAAGTCATCAACCATGACACGTGTCAACACTTGGCAGAAATGATTTCTTTCATCTGATTATTTAAATCAAAAAATCAAGTTTTGGAATTCTATAAATAGGAAACCAAGACATTCATTTTGGGACACCAATTCATAACCAATTCACATCACACCAAAGCCTTGAAGCTTTGAAACTCTAAAGCTCTCAAGCAAATCCCGAAGGATCAAGAAAACCCTCTTCGTTTTTCGTCAAATCCTCCTTCAAGATCAAGCCCCGACGGCCCTTGAAGAACTTCCACCAATTCAAGATCAAACCCCGACGGCCCTTGAAGAACTTCCACCAATTTAAGATCAAGCCCCTACGACCCTTAAAGAAAGTGTTCATCGTTCATCATCCGTTCATCCTAAGATTAAGCCCCAACGACCCTTTGGATCAACAACATCAACAAATCCACACATCCATTCTTCAAGATCAAGCCCACATGTCGTTGAAGATCCGTTCATCCCCGTTCCTCAAGATCAAGCCCAAAAGCCCTTGAAGATCCGTTCATCCTCAACCCTCAAGATCAAGCCCCGAAGGCCCTTGAAGAAACTTCCATCAACTTTCAAGATCAAGCCCCGAATGCCCTTGAAGCCCCGAAGGCCCTTGAAGAAACTTCCCTCAACCTTCAAGATCAAGCCCCGAAGGCTCTTGAAGAAACTTTCAACCATTCATCCAAGATCAAGCCTCGACGGCCCTTAGATCAACAAAATATCCACAAGTCTACATCTTACCGAGATTGAATCAGATGATCAAACTATAAAGAGATTGTAACCCCAAAATCATTAATACAAAATATTATTTTGTATACGTGTTCTTGTTTCATTTCATTGCAGGAATATTCGTTTACAGTGATACCCATTTTTTACCACACTTTATTGACCAAAAAAAAAAATAAAAATTTACCACACCAATGCATCGGATGTAAGAAAACAACACGGGAGTTATGCGGTTGCATTTGCTCAACACCAAAAACGTTTCAAGGACAGTATCGACAAGGTGCACAAGTGGAGGCAGGCTTTGACAAATGCAGCCAATATATCTGGGTTTGATTACTCAAACAATTCTGGGTAACTAACTCATTCTTGAACTTTTCTAAAGTTATAAATTTTCTTTAAACTTGTGACAATTTTCTAAAGTTATAAAATAAAATAAAATAAAATTTCTTTAAACTTGTGACAACATGATCCAATCCTCATCCCAGTCAGCAGCTCCTTCTTGGATGCCAGTTTTCCAGCCTCTATGAAAATAAAATAAAATTTCAGATTACAAAATGCAATATAGTAAAAATTCCGCAGCAGTGAACAATAACGAAAAATAAAATGACACACTCATGAAATGCTACATGGAATTCGAATAATGGTAACCAAACAAAAATCAGAGTCAATAGGAAAATATTACAATAGTGAAAATAAGAGTTTCCGTGTAGGATTTTGGTAATTTAACAACAGAATGACTTTCGGGTTCTAGAAAGGCAATGCCATTAATAAATTGAAATAATTTGATAAACCCAAAGCAAAAGTATATCCAACAACAATGTGTTCCAAGTACAATCCATCAGATAGTTTGATAAAGGATAAGCTAATGGAAGTATTCTTATCATTATTTATAGGATTCTTAGACTCCCAGGAAACTAGCTAAGGAAAGAGATCACCGTACTAAAGGGAAGCTCAGTTAATGTTGTAGGCTTTCTGTGTAGTCCATACTTCTTTCAGTGCTCATTGAGAGTTTTCACAAGCCCATCAAGATCTAATTGGATGTGATCAACACAATCCTGAAAATTTCAGTTGGAAATGGTCTTAGACAAGTTGAGCAAAGGTATTTTTTAAACAGCAAGGTGTGCAAAGGTATCTGAAGTATGCATCATCATCACCTTCTTGCTCCTGATAAACCTAGTTCAGAGAATCCCACAAACCCTACAGATCAGTCCACGTCAGCACCAGAAATTCAAACACAACCTTCCCGCTGCAATCTGCAACAGAAGAGATTGGTTCCATCTCAAATACTCTCAGTGTTATCATAACAACACAATCCATCATCCACACAATTCTTTCAAATACTTTTGTATCTGATTCAAATATTTGTATTTATCTTTTAAATGTAACAACCTTATCATTTATAATTCTATATAAAGAAATGAATGAACACTCACTCGATATCAGGCCGAGCTTATACAACTCATCAACCTGCAATACCCTAGTTTTTCAATCTCCTTTAAGCTCCATCTTGACAACTACCCTGTTTTTCAATCAGTCCATGATAATAAAAAGAATATACCAATAGGGGTATGACCATTCAACTGATTCTATTTTCCCACACTACTTTCCCAGTCATCAGCTATCTATCCCACCATTGGTTTGGAATTTAAATTTTCCCACACTACTTTCCCATTATGGCTCGGATATGCATACAATCATTGTTTGGAATTTGGTTTTTACTGCAAATTTGGAATTTGGTGTTTATATCATTTGATTTTCTCTGATTTTTTACATGTATTTGCGGTGACGGGGGACGAATTCTAGGATGGAGGTGGAAGGATTTGGAAGAATCAGATGTTTATGATGTGTACGAGTTGCCACAATGCTTAAGGTTACCAACGTCAAGAGTTGTAGCTGGTTCGGAATGGGCAATGGTTACGACGGATGGGTAACTGCGGTTATTTAGTCATAATCGTTTAGGTTCATACCCGCATAACTGTTTACCTGTTGGGTAATTGTATAAACGGTTATACTCGTATCTATAACCGTTTATAAACGTAACCATATCCATAACCATGTACCCATTTAACCATAACCGTTTAACTATTTCACCATACTTGTTTACCTGTTTATCATTTTTTTAATATATTGAACCATTTTTTCATCCGTCTACATTTTTTTTAACAACTTGAAAATTATAAAAGAAAAATTTGTCGTAATTTTCGTTTTCTAACAACTAAACATCGTTATAGGTACATTTTAGCATGCATTTCCCTATTATAATCATTTAAGTCCTCGTACAATTGCAATAATTGAAATAATAGTTTACGAACGATATTTTTCTGTTACACCCAAGTAAATCTTTAATTATAATCCATATGATTATAAAGTAAAGCTTCTAAAAATAAAAAGTAATCATTATCTTGAATACTAGATGATTCAAAGCTGCAAAATAACATCATTTAACTTTGTCAGTTGTAACTTTATGGTAAAGTTAAGGGAACTAAAAGCTTCTTTCTTAACTTGAACATAACCAGATTCCAAAAGTACAGAATATCAATTGGTTCACAATCTTCCACACTTTTCAAATATTCCACAAGCACTTTTTTCCATCCACAATTTCTCCTCCAAATAATCAAAACCAACAAAAATTCATCTCAGGTTCTTTCAATTCTAACTTCATGGCAACAAAAAATTGACGTTAATTCTAATTTGACTTTTCGTTTACAGTTTTTAATTTTTTTTAATTTTACATAAATTAAATTAAATGGGTAAATAGATACCCATTATAACCGTTGGTAATATCCATAATCGATGGATACCTATTATAACCGCGGGTAATACCCATAACCGTCCATTTAAATTTCACGAATAAATGGTTATATCCATAACCGTTTGTTCGTCTAAACGGTTATCCATAATCGTAACCGTGAACTTTAAATTAGCGGGTAACCGCGGTTACTCAAACCCATGATTATTTTGCCCATCCCTAAGTTCAACCCGAAGAAGGGTTAGTTTTTTTACAAAATAAGTTCCAAATCCTTAGTGGTTTGGCTTTATAGTAAATACCAAGTGAATTTTTCATTTGGTAGATTTTTTTTAATGCAATTCATTAACTTGGTAGATTTATGTTGTTTATAGAATACATATGAGTTTTCATGGTTATCAATCGTTCAATACCTCTATATGGTTACAGAGGGTTGAAGGTAATCTATATACAATTTCTAAATAGCACTCCCTAGTTATGGCATATCAGCATTCTCAATTTTCTCATGTAATATATGTATATAAACACTATTTTTTAGCACATACTGCTTCTTAACAAAGTTTTGTACCCCACGACATCGCATAGGTTGTGCTGCTTCTTGTATATACTAAAGGCCTACGCCCAAAAACGCTGTTCATAAGAACAGTTTAAAGACGGTATTGCCCCCTTTTTTCTGTTTAAGTTTTTCTTACTTGCACAGTTAAATGACTAAAAAGCCAGGACATACGCGTTTCTTTTATACGATAGTGCGCTGTTACTTTTTCCTCCTTTTTCAGCTCTTCTCAACGCTTTCAAACAGACCACCGCCACCGCTTGCCCCAAATCCACCGCTTGCTTCTCCACCAGTTCACCCAGACCACCGCCACCACTTCACCCAAATCCGACGAAGGGCGCCACAACAAACGTGCCAATCTTCCTGCACCACCGGTCTCCGCAACCTTTTCCAAAACCCGCTTGACCAAAGGTAAGCGAATTTGGTGTTCTGGATTATATTGGAATTGAAATTGGTTTGGTTTCATTAATTTTTGGGTTATTAAATTTGTATGCTCTGATTATTTTGAATTTGAGTTTGGATTGGAATTTAATTTTGATTTACAAATCTCTGATAAAACCTCAACAAGAAACTTAGCAACGTGTATTTTTTTTTTTGTTGGGGGTTTCTTTCTTCTGATTTTTTGGGTTTTCATCTAGGTTAGTTTCTGAACATGCTCCATTTATTTAACGCTTGGTTTCGTATACCCTGCAGCAGTCAAATAAATAACCTTACAGAACCAGAAGCCACTGAAATGGCGATTGGCATATATGTTTTTTTCTATGTTTCAAATCTGGGTTTTAGATATTCTTCCTTTTTTGGGTTAATTATGGAATTTTGGCTCCCTAAATTTCTTTAAACTTTAGAATTTTTTTGCTATTTAGTGTGAGAATATGGGTCCAAGATTGGATTCTTCCAATTTCTGGGCAGGGAAAACAGGGTGGTGACGGTAGAGAATTCCAACTTCTTTGTGGTGGAAATCATAGTTTCATTTTAGATTTTCTTTTGGGTTTATGATATGAGTTGGAATGATGTCTCATGATTATGTGAATGTTTTTTAAGTTAGTTGTGAACCTAATAATCTAATCGTGTCTCATGATTATGTGAATATTAATAAATTTAGTTGTGAACCAGAACCTGGGTATCAACCAAGGACTGACTGCAGGAGGGTTAAAGTTTTCCAACATGATTGTTAATTTCTATAATTTAATCATTTTGAGTTCTTATTTTTTATAATTCTGTTTTTGTAGGAATTATTGTTAATTGTTATGTTAAATTTCAGGCACGAGGCTAGGAGAGAGTTTTCGTCTGCACCAATAAGTAAAATATTTGATATTTTCACTCTGGAGACTGTGGATACCATCTGTGTAGCCATTATAGGGTTCATAACCCAGCAGAACACATCTAAAACGGGATTCCTTCTGAGGTAGTACTCGATGTTTGCTAATATTGCTCTTCTTTACTGATTTCAGTTGACATTGCGAATGTAATATACTTTTGAATGTTTTTCGGTACAATTTAGTTTCGAATTTTGGGTTTGCTTGGATATGAATTTATGCATTTGAGAGTTTTAGGGATCACAAATCTTGGAGGTATTGAGTTTTGGAACCGTCTTTTAATTCAGATTCATATTGGGATATTGATGCGGTGAACAGTCAATTAGTGGTAACTTAGTATATTAGCTATGAATATTGGCATTAAGTTTGCACAGGGTGATTATTTCTGAAATTGTATTTTGTTGTTAAGTATTTTTGGATTAAAACTAAGAGCCTTGATTTAAGTTTGCAGTTTTGAAATTCAGTTTCAAGTGTGTTCAAATTCAGAACAAGAAAAATTGTGATGATCCCCAAGAACATAAAAATTTTGATGATTAGATTTTGAAATGTCTTTTTTCCCAAATCCATATCGACATGGGTTTGTGGTTGTTTTAAGGAAGTGGAAGAAGACAATGGCATCTGCTTAACTCAAAGCTTTTGTTTCAATGGTTAATCAGTAATAAGGAAGGGAATATGATATAAATTTCAGATTGAGTAAAGTTTGATGCTTTATGTATTTAAGTAGGCGTGTGATTTTTTTTCAAGTCATATCTTAAGCAATTAGTTTTTGTACATGGTATGAGTTAGCAAACATAATGACATGAAGAAGACTATGGTTTAGATTATTTGCTAGAATGGTTTAGATTAAGCTCTTCTTCTGCTCCCTACTTGACTGAAAAAAACCATTAGTTACAGTTTTATGGTGAACAAAATATTGTGCTTGAATTTAGTGAAAGCAATTAGCTTGCATACGCATTGATAAGTATTCTAAGATATAAATATTACATATTCTGGTGATCATAGAAAAATGCATATTTGAGTGATCATGGAACACTTTTAGTAGCTATTCATGTCATAATAATTTAGGATATGGGCGTTAAATTAGCTTAAACTGCAGAATGTGGCTTTTACATTGTTATATGGAATTTCCACTAGGAAGAAATAGCATTGAACACATTTAATTGACTGAATGCTGAAATTCTTCCTTAGGCACCAAATTGGATTAGAAAACAGAATCTCACTTTGATGCTCTATTTTCATTCAGTCAACAAGAAAACTGCAATTTCAATGGATATCGCTTTTGTGGCTCTTCTATATATTTTAATTGTCTTTTTAATCTGCCTCTTGAAATGCATTATTTCATGTGGTGGTATTCTTTTCTTTTGTTCAAATTCTGATGTTTGCATTTATAAATAATGTATTCCACACTCTCATTCTAATGGGGATCAAATTCTGATGTTTTAATTTTTTGTACATGATGCTAAAAAGAACAAGATATAGCAAAAGAAATCAGGCGACACAAGACGATCATACTTCTGACTTTTCAGATGGAATAGAAATGTTCAATGAAAATGTTTGTCATGCTGATAATGCACATATGTTGCTTGAAAGCTCTTTCGCGCAAAGTTTGGTCATGCAACAAAAGTGTGACTTTCGCACTTCTGAAATGGCTGCTCTTAAAAAAATTTCACAAGCCCAAAACAAAAGACAAAAAGAAAAAAAAAATTGAACACGTTTCTTGTAGTGATTTGAATACAATTGAAACAACTGAAGATGATATCGAGTTTGACAATGGCTGCTTTTAAATTATCATGTTTTTTTCTACTGCTGATAGTTCACATCTCTGTCTTTACCCATGCCACATTTTTTTTTTTTAGGGAACTTTAACGAAAAGCTTCTGGTAGTGTTCACTTTAACGAAAAATCACATTTTAACACTAAAAAGTCAATCTTGGTACTATTCATTTTACCTTTATTTTGTCTTTATCATTAAAACTCAAAGTTTTTAAACTCTTTTCATTAGTTTTTTTTTTATAGGAATTGTTAAAGAATATGTGGATTTGGGAGATAAAAATTATAAGTGTATTCACTGTGGTGCACTTTTTTGGTTACAAGACTCTATCGAGCAAAGGCCTAAAAGCAATGATCCTGTTTTTACCCTTTGCTGCCAATAAGGAAAGATCAAACTTCCATTTCCAAAGCCAATACCCTTTTATCTATAAAACTTATTTCATCCAAGTAAAAGACAAAAAAGTTTACTGTTCAGAGAAAATATCAAGGTGTATAATTCTATGTTTGCATTTACTTCTGTGGGAGCCAAGCCAAAGTTGATAAATTAATTATCTATGGATCAAGTCTTTACATTTTTAAAATCAATGGTCAAGTTCATCATTTAATGGGCTCTTTGTTACCTGTTGACGGTGAATGTCCAAAATTTGCTCAACTTTATATATATGATACTTATAATGAAGCGAAAAATTGCCTTAAAGCAGTTAATAGTAACCAAAAGAATGAAAAACTTATCAAAACATTGTAGATGGTTTAATAAAAATGTGTGACGAATCGAATGAATTGGTTAAACTTTTTCGAACATTTAGAGATAAATTCGAAAATGGTTCCCTCACTCCTTAAAAATGTCATTGTTGGGTAGGCAACCAAATGATAATAAACAATATGAACAACCAACATGTGATGAAATTGGTGGTTTAATAGCAGGAGACATAGGAGTTTTTTATTCAAACAGAGATATTGTTATAGAATTTAAAGATGGAGGGTTAAAATGTATTACAAAATTAAATCCAAAGTTCATTTCCTTACAATATCATGTTCTTTTTCCATATGGTCAAGATGGGTACAGATCTGATTTAAAATGGAACAAAGATTTTAAAAATCATGAATGAAAAAAAGGAAGAGTACCTATGAGAGCCTTCATAGCGTATCAAATTCAGGATAGAGAGCCTCAATTGGACACATTGCTAAAAGGAGGAAGGTTGTTCCAACAATTTTTAGTTGGACAGAGAGTTATAAAGATATTTATGATGCAATTTCAAGGGGTGATAATGATGCCAATAATATTGGACAAAGAGTTATATTGCCTAGCTCATACACTGGAAGCCCTAGATACATGCTTAATAATTACTAAGATGCTATGGCAAGTTGCAGACAATATGGACATCCTGATTTGTTCATAACCTTCACTTGCAATATCAAATGGATTGAAATTGTAAGAGAGTTTGATAACAAACCTGGATACCAAGCAAAGGATAGACTTGATTTAATATCTCGAGTTTTCAAACTGAAGCTTGATGATAGGATTAGTTATATCAAGTCAGGAAAACCTTTTGGGGAAGTTGAAGCAGGTCAATTTTCAAAACTCACAACTTATGCTTTCCTCAATTTCTTTCCATTTTCATTGTCATAAAACTCACTAGGTTTTATTAACCCTCTTTATCACAAACAGATGTTTGTACAATCGAGTTTCAGAAAAGAGGATTGCCTCATTCTCATATTGATCCGGCTGAAAAAAAGGCTATAAATCCTTCTCAGCAGCAAACATAGATTCCATCATTTCAGCCGAATTGCCATAGAGGAATGTAGATCTAGTTCTTTATGAGATTGTCAGTCAATTTATGATCCATGATCCTTGCGGTCAAATCAATCCAAACTCTCCTTGCATGCGAGATGGTAAATATTCTAATATTTTCCCAAAACATATAAAAGTGAAACAATTTATGAAACAAATGGCTTTCCTGTGTATAAACTACGTGAGGATGCAACCAAATTTGTGATAAAAAGGGGGATACGGATTCATAACAGTTTTGTAGTGCCTTACAATTCAAAGTTATTATTGAGATACAACGCTCATATAAATGTCAAATCCTGTTGTCAATCAATGCTTATAAAATATCTTTTCAAATATATAAATAAAGGTTCAGATAGAGCTACAATAATTTTTCAAGAAAACCCAAAAGATGAGATACTTAAGTATCTTAATTGTAGATACATATCTCCATACGAAGTTGTTGTTGAAAGATTGCCAATACATTTGCCTTTACAACAAAATGTTGTTTTCATTGCTGCTCAATCACTTCAGTCAATTGTGAATAAAAAACGTACTGAACATATGCTAACAAGTTGGTTTAAAGCAAATCAATCTTTCTCTAAAGCACGAACATTGACTTATGCTGAATTCCCTTTGAAATTTGTGTGGGATTCTCGCAATAATCTTTGGAAACCTAGGCAAAGAAAAGGATCCATATGTAGAATAGCTTATGTACATCAAGCATCTGGAGAATTATATTATTTGAGGTTGCTTTTAAATTTGAAAAAAGGTGCATTCAATTTTGATGACATTAGAACTATTAACGGCATTATGCAACCATCCTATCAAGCTGCATGTAAATGCTTAGGTTTGTTTCGAGATGATAAAGAGTGGGTTGAGGCTTTAGCAAATGCTATGAACACAACATCGTATTCTGAATTAAGACAATTGTTTGTTACAATCAAGGAAAAAAATATCGGTAATATCGGAAATATCGGTAGTCCGAAAACACGAAAATATCAATGGAAATATCGGAATAATATCAATATCGATAAAAATTACATGGAAACCACGGAAATTGTAAGAAAAACTTGGAAATTTTTAATGAAACTTTGCAGAATGTTTATTTAGTCAATTATCTATTAGTTTATCACAAAAAATTGGAAGGAAATGCATTGCATGATGGATTTAACTGATTTAAGTTGATTATATAGCGAGCTGGCAAACATTGTGAGTGTAGAAAATATGTAGTAATTAATGAAAGAAGTTTAAACACACCATAATCATTTATATATAATGAATTAGTACAATATTTTATACTTTATACATTGCATGGTAAGATACATGAGTGACATTCTTATAACGGGTACATATCAATTTTTTTATAAAAATTAATGGGTACAAACTTATTCTTATTTTATTTTTTATATATTTGAAATGTTTGAATTGAAAATTAATTAGAAGTTTAATAAGAATGTGAGTATTAAAACTCTAAATCAATTACTAATTTTTGTTATGAAAGTTATGTAACTTACATGTAATTCATTAATGCTAGGGACTTTGATCAAAATATAAAAACTGATAAGATCTTAGTCAATGAACATTAGAAACTAGGGATTGAATACTAATTTTTCTTTATTTTTTAAAAATAATAATAATTTGGTTAATCACATTTTACATCATCTAGTTTCGAGAAAAAAGAAAACTGTTTGGTCAATTTTGAAAGCCATATCAAAATTTTGAGTGATATTTTTATCCAACGTGTTAATACAAAATCATATAGACATAGTACATGATTATGTTTTGGTAATCAAAGACGCCACAAGTGTACCACGAAAAATCGTCAATGAATATATGTCATAATAACGGAATCTAGAAACAGATAAATTTGAATAACTTCATATATCAGAATAAACTAATTGCAATATGAGAGATGTTCAAACCTGCACCCATTGAAACCATTTACATGATCAAAACCCGTGTATTATTTAAGGATGATTTGTGATCTAAGTAGCATCATTGGTTATGTGGTGTTGGCTCCAGAGTTTAAGAGCCAAGTTGTAGGTGGCGGAGGAGCAGCAGTACGGGGAGCAGATGAACTGGCAGCATAAGCAGTGAAACATGATGATGGAACACATCCCTCATAGGACATGTTCAGGCGATTGAAGCAGTCAATCGCTGTGTGACCAAAACGCCGACAGATTTGGCATTGAATCTTCCCTCCAGTAAAGCTATCAAAAGGAGAGAAATGAGGCAGTCCAACATGTGCAGCACCGAGAAACCTAGAACAAAATTATAGGCTCTAGAAGTAGAACCGGAAGAACCCGAGCCAGACGAGGAACCACCACTAGAACAAAATTAGAGTTGTTGCTGTTGTCCCACATCGCCCAAGGCATAAAAAGAAGCTGGTGGAGGGATTATAAAATGGACCACTGTTGTCCCACATCGCCCAAGTCATAAAGAAGAAGCTGGTGGAGGGATTATAAAATGGACCATCAGCCCAAACTTAAAAGCATACCAGAAAATCATTACCCTTAGCGATAATATCGCAATATTTACGATATTATTGATAATATCGCGATATATGGACGATAATTAAGGGATAAGTGTGAAAATATCGGTATCTAAAAAAACGACAATATCGGCGATATTTTGCAGATAATATCGATATTTTGTTCCTTGGTTACAATCAAGGTTCTAAAAAACGTTAAGAGCTAGTCGGGCGGTGGGCTAGCGCCTAGGCGGCGAGGCGGAGTCTAGACGGGCGCCTAGGCGGTCTAGGCGGATTTAGGTAAATTTCTTGTATATCTTGTAAGTAAGTGCATATTAACACTTATAAAAAATTATACTTGTATGAAATTCATGAAGACAATAATAAATAATAAATAATAAAATGCAACACTAGTATCCAAAGTTCAAAATTTATAAACACACATATATGTTATATTAGTTAAAAAATAAATAAATATTCCACATGTGTGTGTGAAGAGGTGCATGCATCCTCCTCAATTTCAAAAAGCACCACGTGTGTGGTGTAAGGGTCACCCCTAATGGAAAAACACATCGGGCATTGTAAATACAGATAGCCATTTAATGTGGATATCATGCAAATCTTTGGAATGTCAGGCAAGGCAATATAGGCTGTAACAGCCTTGTCAGCCTGTTTTGAGAGAGAGAGAGAGAGAGAGAGAGAGTTTTGTTTGAATTGAAAGGTCTGAGCACTTTTTATGTTGTATTAATGCACAAAATCAGTGAGGACTTTGGTACAACAGAAAGTGTTAAGTTTGTGACATTCGCTAGATTGCTCCGGTCACTAGTGTGGATAAGTATGGAAATGGATAGAGACATGGAAGCAAACACAAGATG